CTCCGGGGCCACCGGCCCTGGGCTCATGCGAGCCCTCAGGTCTCGGACTTCGGTGCTCCCTTGCTCCTCGCCTCCCCCACCCCCCTCCCGCGGCGCGCGTCCAGGCTCAGCGGAGAGACCCCGGGTGTGAAGAGTTGCCTCCCAGGCTTCTTTCTTCTTGCTCACAGCGTCACCCCCCCCCCCATTCCTTCCAGATGACAACCACCACCGGGAGAAGTACCCTGCAGAGCTTGAAGGGATTTAGGCCGACAAGCGCCGGCGGCTCTCAGCGCTGGCTCAGGCGCCCCAGCGGCTTGGAGTTGGAGAGAGACCTGGCTAGACGCAAGAGAATGGCCTGGAAGCAACCTCCCCTGCTTGCCCCCATTGGGGGACAAGACCCACAGTCAGGGCATTTTCTGTACGGATGCGCCCCCAAACGCCCTGGGTCAGGAGTTCCTGAAGTGGTCATTTGCCTTCCCCCCTCCTCCGGGCATGTAGGCAAAGCTAACAGATGCCCACCCCCATCACCCCTACCCCCGCCTCCCGCCACACTCTCTACCAATCTCCCCCAGCTTCTCTCTCCGCCCCTAGCTCAGCCCGGGCCTGCCTTCCCCTCCCTTGCTGTTCCCAATACCCGTCCCCCAGCTAAGGCTCCCCAACCCTAAGCGTCCATCATACACACATGGTTCTTTAACACACACACACACACACACACACACACACACACACACACACACACACCATACACGCCAGCAGAATAGTTAATGAATTTATCTTCTAAACTCAAATCCCCCCCGTGGACTTTTATGGAGTTGGTTCGAACATTTTTGATGATTAGAAAGGATTTAATTTTTTACAAAACGCTTTTCGAGCTTTTTTCCCTGGAGAATTGGGCTCTGGTATCTTCCTTGTTTGCATAAAACTAGTTTTTTGCCGAACCAAATGAATCGCTGTAGGAGACAAGTCGCAGGAGATTCATTCTCTCACTCCTTCGTTCTCTTTCAAAATTTTTTTTTTTACTTCTCTCAACTTCCTCTCCCTTCGTTTTCCTTCTCGACTCTTCCTTTTCTTCCCATAAATCATATGTCCTTGATCGAGAACCCGTGCACAAGTTCGCTGGCCACCTCACCCAGCTGCCGGGGCACGGCGAGGACAGGCCCACTGCAGCTGGCCCTCGGTACATTTCAATGCGGCGTCCAGATCCTCCTTCAATCCCTACGCCCGAACGCATCCCGACTGACTTTTCCGATGGGGGCGCAGATGTTTTTGACAAAAAACTGAGGGGGCCTCATGACGGTTACTGCAGCTGGCTTTGCGATTGTTTAACGCGAGCGTTCAGCAGTCTGGTATCATCCCACCCTGCCAGACAGCGCGTGGTGAAGAACTCGGCGTTTTGATTTCCTATGCAGGAGCGCGGGACCGAGAGGGCTCGGAGATGTTTGCTCAGACCTCCGAGTGCATCCAGAGAGAGAAACACACCTGGTGCCGGCCAGGCACTTTTCCGCCGGGTCACGCCAAGTCTGCCGGAGCCTGGCCCTCCAAATGAGGCCAAAAAGGCCTGAGTGGCAGGCGCCCCCCCCCCCCGCCACCAGGTCAGGCATATTATTTTGCATAGATCATAATTTCTTCTTAAGGCCTGTGTCCTCTTGGAAGTGAGGTCATCTCACATCTCATAAAGACCCCGAAGCTCGTAGGCCATGAAATGCTTGTGCCTGAAGTTCCCAAGTGCAGAGGCTGCGCGCCGAAGGGTGTTTCAAGGACCAGACAGATGTCACTCAACTGCGATGGGACTGTGGACCCACGCATCCAAGCGGGCGGGAGAGGGAGAGCCTGCAAGTGAACCCCGAGTGAACTTCCCAGGCCTGCATAGTCAGCCTGTGCCTATTTCACCTGAAATGGATCTGAAACAGGGGGCTGGGGAGCCAGCGGCAACTTATTTCCCCCTCTTCCCCCCATCTTTTTTTTTTTGTCTAAATTATTCGATTGTTGTCCTCAAGGCTTCAGTTTCATTTTGGACTTGCACACATAGCGCCGGGTGGAAGCTACACTCACTCAGAAAATGCTGTAGCGACTCTTCCGCGGCTTTCTGGGTATTTTGTCCCATTGGGGTAATTACGCTGCCACCGTTTGGGTCCATAGGACGCGGGCCCTGGGCTCCCAAGTCCCATCACGGGGGTCACTCCTTTGCCAGTTAGCGCCAGTACCACGGCCCATAGGCTCCGGGAAGGAGAAGGGGCCTGGGTGGAGATGCTCTTCTTGCTGCGGGGAGTGGGGGTAGAGGTGGCTTTGGGTTTGAGAGTGACTTCAGAAAGAAGGGGCAACCCAAGCTCCGAGGATGGGGAAAGAGGGGCTGAAGAACTGAGCAGGGACACATTCTTCGCAACCAGTCCTGGGATAGGGAAGGATCCGGCTACCTGTTGCACTCTGCCCTGCCCAATCCCAGGCTCCGGGGTTTGGCCTGGCGGCAGGCGGGCCCCCCATTTCTCCGACTCACTGGCCGGCAGCCTCCGCTGACTTCATGGTCCTAGACCTCTCGGTCGGACTTCGACGACAAAGGCCCAGGGACTTTGGACTTCCGAGGTCTTTGGAAGTGGCCCCGCAGCGTTTCTGGCCCAGCTTCCTCGAGGCGAAGTTGCCCCTCCACCGCCCTCCGGGACTCCAGACCCTCAGGCCCTGCCCCAGTGTGGAATGGCTGAGCTAATCCTCTGGCTTCTAGAATCTCGAGCGCTGGGCCAGAGGAGAGCCCAGGGAGGAGCCAAAACGGGTTGCCTTCGAACGCTGGAGCTGCAGACACATCCTCTCCCTCTCTTTCTCTCTCGGCCTCCATTTGTACATTTTTATAGCAAGTGACGACTACTTTATGGATGCGCATGCTGGGTCGGCACCCATGGGCCCTCGAGACCCAGTGCCACCGGCAGTATTTCCATCCAAGGGTAGCCGCCCTCTCCACGCGTTTACTTGCGGACGCGCACCCCGGGAGACCGGGAACTAGTGTGCAGCAAACACGCCCCTTCACAGACCCACCCGCTCCTGGGACAGAGAAAACACGGCAGGAGACCGCCAGGTCATCGCGGGGAGGGCTTCGAGACGGAACCCTCGGCTTAAAAACACAGGAGACCCAGCCCTGGACCTGCAGGTCCTTTTAATTGCGAGTTGATCCCGCATTCTGCTTCTCTCCAACAATGACCTCTCCCAACAATTTCCGCTGACCCTAAAAGTGCCCTGTCTGCTCCTCTCAACCGTATGGAGACACAAAACTTGGGAAACGTCTAGAGCTCTTGATTCTACCCCTGAGAAGTGGCTTAGGAAATAAGGACACAGACTCTGGTGGCCCCCAAGTGCACAAAAAGGAAATGAAAAGTTTTCCTCTTGACAAGTTGAATCACTTTATGTAAAACCTGGTTAAGCGGGGCTTCATTCCTCGCAGCGGGTCTCTCCTTTGTACTATAATGCACACGAGGCACCCCCGTAGGTGGGTGGGGGGATAGCCAGACATTTTCTGCTCTCCAGAGGCCTGGCTCGGCTGTTCCGAGCCTTCCCCGAGCCTTCTGATGTGGCATTCTCCACTTGGAAGTGCATTTTTAAAGGGCCAACTTTAGCCGTTGAGCAGCTATACTTTTTTTTTCCCCCTCTCCTCCAATCTTGCTTTCTGAGTTTGCCTTAATTAGGGGGTGGGGAAGTGGGGTGAGAGCCCTAGTTCACGTAAAAACTGTCAAAGGAGGTGGGGGAAGGGAGGAGAGAAAGAGAGAGAGACTGAGAGAGGTGGAGAACTCTGGTGCAGGAAAAAATTCAAAAATCGTAAAAAGCAAAGGGGGAACTAGAAGCCCTGAAGTCATTGTTTCCTTTATTTCAAAGGGAGAAACCTGCCCGATTCTCATCCTTTTGATTGATTAAGGCCCTGAATACCTCGCAGTTCTGGAGTGACAGTCCCTGAATAGACTCGGGCGAATAAAGCGCAGTGCGGAGCGCGGGGCTGGCACTCGGGGGTGTAAAGGAGGCCAGTTCGCTGGCACTTACCAAGTTATAAATAAAAGGCCATGCACAATGGTACCTTCTCTGAGGACAGACAGTCTTTACAACATTCCTGGCGTCATATCCTGCTGGGGACACTTCAGCTCCTAGCCAAGACTTTGCTCCTTTTATTTTTCCAGCAGTTTAGTCTGAATGCCATAATAAATTCCTGAGAACAAACGCTGCAGCAGGACAAAACTTTAACATATAGACGTATCTCTGCCAACATATCGGGGATCTATACATCGAGATTTAGAGACCCGGCTTCCGAGAGTGAGTTTTTAAATCAAGAAGAGGAGACAGCCCCCCACCCCCACCTCCAACTAAGCGTCCTGGGGCCTAGACGTGCTCCCTAAGCTTCACATTACCACCACACCCCCAGACCCAGAAGACAAAAGATCTTCATGCCCTGGAGTCCTTTTGAGAAGAGCCACACAGGGAGGACCCCAGGAACAAGCCTAGGCCGCGGGGCATTAACCAGAGAAGGAAGGCTCAACGTGTCTGGGGCCCCAGTGCCTTCTTACTGGAATTGTGCCCCCTCCAGCGGCAGTAAACCTAGAAAGCAGACAGCAAGAGAGAAAGAGAAAAAAGATACAACTAAAGACAGGTAGAGAGAATCGGAGACAGAGAGAAAAACACACAGAGACACAGAAAGACCTAGAAATGTAAAGTCAAGGAGTGAAAGAAAGAGACTAGGGCGACACACAGAAAGTGACGGGGATAGAGAGCCCCTCTCCGCCCTTAGCGGCTGCCCTCTCCCCTGGGTCGTCTCTCCGGGTTTCCACGGTCCACCCTTCTCTCCTGGGAAAGGGTCGGGGCTCAGGTCCCTCCTGGGGCCGGCCGAGGCCTCGGCCCTGCCGGGGATGGGAAGAGAAAGTGGCCGCTGTCGCCCAATCAGCGCTTGTCTCCGCAACTCGGGACGGTCTCGCCGTCGGCCAATCGCAGCTCAGGGCTCCTGACCAAGCTTTGGGTGAAAGAACTAATAAATGCTCCCTAGCCGGACTCCCCGCACTCGTGGTCACGACAGGAGGAGACTAGGCGGCCGCGCTCCCGCCCCGCCCCCCCTCCCCAGCTCGTCGCCGCCTCGGAGCCCCCTCCCAGCACCCCCAGCCTCGAGGCCGCTTGCCCAGACTCGCCCCAAACTTTTCCGCCCTAGGCTGGGGAGCCTGGACTCCAAGGCCTCCCCGCCGCCCCCTCTCTCGGTTCCGTCTCTGGTGGGTGGACTTGGAGCGCGCAGTCCCCCCATCCGAGTCTCCCCCTCCAGTCTTTCTGGGGAGGGGCTCTCCGCGCTCGGGGGAGTTCCGGAGGGTCCCCCGCGCTCGCCTTTTCGTTGCGCGTCTGCACCTGGATTAGTTGCTGAGCCGGGCTGCCTGCAGGATGACCACGCTGGCCGGCGCCGTGCCCAGGATGATGCGGCCGGGCCCTGGCCAGAACTACCCGCGTAGCGGCTTCCCGCTGGAAGGTAAGCCAGGGCCTCGGGCCGCCCGGAGCCCGGACCTGGGACACGCCGCTTGCCCCACCGAGGGCTCAGACCACCAGCTCCTTCAGCGCGTCCGGGGAGCCCAGTCCTCGGGCACCCCCGCCTCAGGAGGTAACAGTCGGGGGCCAGGATCCCGGCGATTTCTGTCTGCAAACGGAGCGCGCTGCTCTCCGCAAACCCTTGCGGAGCCTGGCGGACAGGCCTGCGCCCAGGCCCGGGCCACTTCTCCCGGTTGGTTTGCAAAGGCCGTGGCGGGGAAGGGGTGAACTGGCTTCTGAGCACCAGAAAGCAACTGCTACGCACTTTCTCCACTAAAATGTGTCTCCAAGAATGTCCCGGCTGCGCCTACATTTGCTAAACTCGAGTTACTTCCTGAAGAATTTTCTTGCCGGCGGAAAAGTTGCTGTGGTGGCTAACGCCGGCATCGTGATTGGACTTTTTAGTATTAATTAATCGATTAAAGTTCCTTTTATCTCAAGTGGCAGCTCAAATTTTTCACAACGAGTTTGGGAAACCGCCTTGCAATCAGCCCGAGCTTCTGGGAAGCTCCGCGAGGCAGGAAGCTTTGCAATCCGAGTTTTCCAGACAGTCTGCCAGGTTGGGGGCTGCCCGAGCCCGGGATGCTGATCCCGCGGCGCCCTTCTCCCTCGGCGCAGGGTAGCATGCAGTACCCAGGGCATGAGTAGGGGGCCAGGGCGTCTGCGAGCAGGCCACGCTGCTCTGTCCTGAGGTGTAACAGGTGACACGCGCTGCTGCCTGCGGCCTCCTTTGGGACCCTTCTTGACCCTTGACAGTTTTCTTAGCAAGAAACCCCAAGGGCTGTCAACTAACCTAAGTCCTTTAGAGAGGGAGCAGCCCAGTATGGCAGGGTTTGGTGGAGCAGAGCTGCAGAGGTCTGCTCCTGGGGCAGCTTCTCTCTGCCAAGAAGGTTTTTTTCTCGGGCAAGATGCATTCTGCACCAGCCACAGGCTCTTCCCCCACATTGCCATCCCTCCTAGACACAAAAGAAAAACAGTTTGTTTACCGCTAAATTACTTAATAATTTGCACAAATGTAACAAATGTGGCCAAGAGTAACTGACAGACACTTCAGTGCTGGGAGCTGTGACATGCAGTTTGGCCTTGGGCTGCTTTTTCTTTTCCCAAAGTGACTTTCCCCTTGCCACTCTTTTCCCTTCTGCCCACAGTGTCCACCCCCCTGGGCCAGGGCCGCGTCAACCAGCTCGGCGGCGTCTTTATCAACGGCAGGCCCCTGCCCAACCACATTCGCCACAAGATCGTGGAGATGGCCCACCACGGCATCCGGCCCTGCGTCATCTCGCGCCAGCTGCGCGTGTCCCACGGCTGCGTCTCAAAGATCCTGTGCAGGTACCAGGAGACCGGCTCCATCCGCCCGGGCGCCATCGGCGGCAGCAAGCCCAAGGTGAGCGCGTGGGCCCGGACCCGCGGCCTCCGGCCTCCTGCGGGTTCCAGGGCTGGGGAAAAGTGGGCGGGAGGTAAATAATGCCATTTTAGGCTTTCCAAGGAGTTATTTTTTTAAGCCCGAGATGTAAGTATGTGGGGAGACTCGCTGGCTGTCAAGGCCGGTCGCTCCCGAATGAACGCTAAGCGAAAGTTCCAGCCTTTTTTGCAAAGAAGAAATAGCGTTTGGTTTTTTATGCCCTGGAATCCCCATCAGACTGTTTTAATAGATAACACTTAAAGCACGCAAGCTGCACGTGCCCACCTGTTGACGTTTTTTTCCTCAAGTAGCTTTCCAGCGCTCACCCACACCTCATGGTCCTTTCCAAAACGAATCTAAGGAGCGCCTCTGAGTTTTCTGATGGCTTAGCAGTTGGATTCAAAGCATTTCTTTTTCCACTGTAGCCCTAACCAAATTGTCTTCAAGGAGTCAAAACTAGTGATTTTTTTTTGGTAGTGAAATGATTTTCTTAAAAGCAGTTTGGTGCGATCCTCAAATTATTTTGGTTTCTTTCGAAAAATGAAAGCATCCCCCTGTTTAGGGTGAGTGGGTGGGGACTGCACAGGGTCTGCCTTTTCTCCTGCATGCGGGGAAAATCCAATATAATTTTTAACCACAGGATAAAATCAAGAGGAGGGTTATGGTCATCTGACGCCTTCCAAACCCCCTTCTTCCTTTTCTGTTCCAAACCCCTTCACAATCTCCCCAAGAACTCTGGAAACTCTTTTCAGCGGCGAGGTGGGGGGGGGGGGGAGCCAGTCTCTCAAAGTATACATATTTGTTATCCACTCTAATTTTTAAAAACCTCGATACTCATCTTTTCCTTATCACTCTGCTCTTTGGGTGAAATCTTGGCTTTTTTGAAGAGGCACTAGTTGCAGAAATGAACTTGATTTTTCTGCCTCTTTTTCAAGCATTCCTTCTTTAGTTTTGCTTTTGTGCGTTGATTCTGTGTAACGAGTTGCCTTTATTTCTACGGACCAGAAAGTATTACTCCCCTCCGCCAGGCGTTACAACTCTTTTTCTTTTACCTTGGTTAGCTGAGCTTTTCTGGGCACAGTGGAGGGAGCCTAGGCCCCTCCGGATTGGGGTGATTTTCAGTGTGCCCCTTTTACAAGTAAACAGCCCAGAAAGTTGGGGTCCTTTGGGTGACAAGGGGGACCTTCTCGGGGTATGCAGGAGGGAACAAGGAGCAAGGTAAGGAGGTAGTGTGGCCCACTGCATCTGGCCCGGAATAGCCGGTACCAACGCTCGCCCACCTGTTCTCTTAAAGCAGGTGACAACGCCTGACGTGGAGAAGAAAATTGAGGAATACAAAAGAGAGAACCCGGGCATGTTCAGCTGGGAAATCCGAGACAAATTACTCAAGGACGCAGTCTGCGATCGAAACACGGTGCCCTCAGGTACCAGTCCCATTAACGTCTCCTCAGGCGCGCCGTCAGTCGCTGTTACCCAGGCGGCTCGTCCGAGCCCTAATCGCCCCAATTATCGATCCGGGCTATTGGGAGGCAACCCTCTCAGGCCCTGAAATATTTACGAACCAACCTTATTTGGCGTTTTAGGGAGGGAGGGGTGAGCAGCTTGGTTGGGAGGGTGGTGGTGAGACCGCCACGGAGGGCTCCCCAAAGAGAGTTTATGTCGAAGAGGCCGGGCAGGAAACGCGAGGCGGAGGCCAAGCGTTTATTAATATTGATGTTCCCTTTTAAAGAGAAACAAATGTTTTGGTAACCCCAACCGAAGGGAGACGAGGCCGTGCGAGCCGAGCCTCGGCAGCGTGTGCGAAGGAGGGGGCTTCAGCCACGGCCCCGAGTTTTTCCTGAGCGCCCTAAGGCGCATCCCGGCCCCCTGGCAGCCTGCGGGAGGCGGAGGAGAAGAGGGGCGAGCTCAGGGCCAGCACGAGGGCGCGCGGGAGAGTTTGTTTTTAATTAAAAGGAAACTCCCTTTTCCCCCCTGCGAGAACGAGATATTTCAGAGCATGGGTTTGTTTACCAGACTAGAATCTGGAAAAAATAAATGGTGAAGAGTGCATTTTCTTTTGATTTTACAATAGGAAACGATTCTGGAGTTGAAATGGAAACCCTTTATGGCCTCAAAAAAAAAAAAAAAAAAAAAAAGCCTGGGTGGCAGGGCACAGGTTCCTGAAAGGGAACACGGGGTCCAATGCCTTCAGGAGGTGGTGGGTGCAGGGTGGGCTAGCGGGAGAATCCCCTAAGATTGGAGATTTACGGCCCTGTCCATAGAGCCAAGAAGGGAAACGCTTCCTGCCGGGGAGAGGGGGACAGAGCTGGCGTTTTCCGGCCTGAACTTGGAAGGGCGGCTTTCCCAGGCTCACGCCTTTACGCACCCAGAGGCTGGTCTTGCGGGGAGGGAGTGAGTGGGAGGGCGCGAGGGTGTCCGAGGGAAGGGAATACAGAACCCAGCTGTGCCGGTAGCCGTTCTCGGGCTCGGTCTGGGTACAGGGGGTCGCTTCTCTGCACAGCCCCGCGCGTCTCAACCGTGTGCGCCCCTCGCCCACCCCTTCCGTCCCCAGTGAGCTCCATCAGCCGCATCCTGAGGAGTAAATTCGGGAAAGGCGAAGAGGAGGAGGCTGACCTGGAGAGGAAGGAAGCAGAGGAGAGCGAGAAGAAGGCGAAACACAGCATCGACGGCATCCTGAGCGAGCGAGGTAAGCGGCGTCCGCGAGCCGCGCCCAGGGCCTGAGTCCGCGGACCGCAGCGGCCTGACGCTGAGGGGCCTGAGGGCGTCCCTGCCCGGTTCGAGCCAGGATTCCTCCTCGCTCATAGCTAAGCACCAGAGCGAGGGCATGCAAAGGACAACCCAGAGAAACACTTGCAATTAAAAGAAAAATCTTCTGTAGGCTGTGTAATTTCTCCGTTTTGTAAACCTTTCTTCCGCTCCATTCCCAGCTCCCCGGAGTCTGGAATGTGAGTTACGGCCTCTTGTCTCTGAGCGTTGGGGGAGGCCTGTGGACAGAGGGTCCGGGTCTCTAGAAGTTGAATCAGCTTTTGCGTCTGCGTCCTCAGGAAAGGCCCGAGTCTCTAGACAGTTTTCACATCCGACGAGATAGAGAGAGAGAACTGGGCAGTGGGCCCCCAAAGTTGCTCCACACTGGCTGCCTTATAAATGTGCGTGTGTGTGGGTGTGTGTGTTGGCTGTTTTTTTCTTAATTTTTAAACTGGGTTTCAGTTGTGGAAGGGTTTGACCTGTTGATGTCTGGGAAGAAAAACCAGCCCAAGCTCTGGGTTACAAACCAAGGGGATCTGCGTTGGGTTTCTGGGCCTGCAGCACTGGCCCCCTCCTCTGCCCAGCTGACCAGCTGACCAGCTGCTCCTTGTTGTCTTGGGCCTGTCAGCACCAAAAGAAAATCCTCCCCCCACCCCCCCAGCCAGAAGTGCAACCTGCTTCCCCTTTACCTGCTTCAGGTCGCCCTCAGACACTAATCTAAAGGTACCAAGAAAAAAAGAAAAGACAATCTTGTCAGAGTTTCGGAGTTGGAGGGAGTGGATCTCTGCAGGGGGAGAGGGGAATTGCGTCTCAGCACTTTTGGCCCTGGGCGCAGTTTCATCTCCTTAAATGCAAAGGTTCAGGAGTTGCCTGGCACCCCTGTGTTCTCTCACCGGGATGTGGACTTCTCTGGGCTGATTTGAATTTGCGAGTTCTCTAGAAGGACCTCCTGTCCTGGATTCTGCCTGAAGCAGGCAGCTCTCCAGCTTCACTTTCGCCAAGATTCTGGTGGGCTTGGGGCGGCTGCAGACACCTATTGCAACTAGCTGGGTCCAGACCCTCACCTGGTGGTGTCCAGGGTGGGACTGGTCACCTTTTACCCACAGTTCCCAACCCCCGGGGTGGGTCACCGACCCTCCGGAGGAGCTGCTTTACAGACCAGTACAAAATCTGCACATCACTTATAAGGGACACTTAGATTTGAATGTTCCAACTCCGAATGAACAGAAGCGTAGACGCTCAGGTGCACTCCAGCCAGCAAGAAAAGATGCCAAAAACCAAGACAGGTTGAGTATTGGATATACATACGTTGTTGCTTCCCTCCCTGGACTCAGCCTAGGCCTTTCTTTTTGGAGAGGTTCATTTCTGCCCTGGTCTCTGAGAAGAGACCCTGGCTTTTGTTCCAGGACTTGATGTAGCAGAGGAGTGCTGGGAGGGAAGAATGCGAGAAGCCAGCCAACCCCAAATCAAACAGGCCCTTGCGGGCAGCGAAGCGAGGGGCCGAGAGCGGTCGGAGGGGCTCCCGGCCCACGGCTTGGCTACTTGTTGCTGGAGGCACCGGCGCGGGCTGATCAGCCGCTCCCGTGGAGCACAGGCAACCGAGGCCGAGGAGACAAAACGCCCCAAATGAGCTGGTCAAACATTTGTACAACTTTTCCAGCTTTTACAAAGAAGGCCTTCTCTACACAATCTACACTTGGAGATGAACTTGGGAGACAAAGCCTGGAGAGTCCATTGAAACTCACACTTCAGCTTGGCCCAGACAAAGCTCCGGCTCGCAGCGGCTTGATGTGAACAAAGGAAGGCAACCTTTTTATAATTCAAGGAGAAAAGAAGAGAAAACAGCCCCACAAAGGCCCGAGAATAGACATTATGGGCTTGCAATGAGGGATGAATTATTCAATGAGCCCCAATAGCTGCTGTGCCAGGAAGTTTTATGGACTCTCCAGCGTGGAAAAAGTGGCCATTTCACCTACAAAATGTTTCTAGTTTTTTGGGCCGTCTAGCTGGGCCGGCTGCCATTCAAGGGCAGTTGCTAACCTTTTTTTTTTTTTTTTTTTAAATCAGAGTATTCTCCCTAGCGGGGGCTGTGCCGTTGAAAACACACACACACCCCCCTCGGAGGCTGCAACCTAATTTCCTTTGGGGTTGTCAAGGCAGATGCAGCGTCGGTCTCTTCAGCGCCTCTAGTTACCTTTCCAGATAAGCCCTGGAGGGCAAGCGGTGCCCAGAGAAGGGCAGAGTGAGGTGTAGTTTGAAGGAAAGTGTAGAAACCTCAAAAATTTCCCTCTGGTGTTTGAGTATCAAACGTTCCAGGCCGCCCGGCGTGGAAAATACAGTGAATGTTCAGAAGGGGCTCTGTGCGCCCTGAGGGAGGAGGAGAGGAAGGAGGAGGCTGGCCGAGGACTGGCGTTTGGGTGTGTCCCATTCGCTCCCTTACGGGCCTGGCGGGCGCTGCGGAGACTATCTTTCCAGGGGCCTCTTTGGCCCGAAGTCTGCTTGGCAGACACTAGGACACAGAGAGAGGCACCCTACAAGAAGCCAACTCCTCTCATCCTTCTGTCCGGGCTCTTGTCCTATTTCCTCCTTTTCACCTTCCCACCTTTCCCTTATCCCTCGTCCACTCTGCGAACCACGCAGCCTGACGGCCGGGTGCGCTCTAGCCTGTGCGCCCTGGCGCGCACTAGGCGCCATGCGCCCCTGCTGGACCCATTCTTTTAGTTCCCTGGCCCGGGTAGGAGGAGAAGGTTGGGTGGCTAGAGAGCACCCCACCTCCCCCTCTCGCCGCAGGCCCGCGCTGAGGGCGGAGCGGGCGCAGCCGGGGAACCCAAGCCCTGGTCGCGGCATCAGGGGTAGTGTGCACAGCCCGCGCTGCGGCCGCTCAATGGGCGCCTCTGTTCCTCCCCCGGCGCTGCCGAGCGGGCCCGCGGGCGCCGCCACAATGGCCCGGGCCCCCACTCCGTGCCTTGCGCCAAAGCGCCGCGCCGCGCCGCCCCCTCCCCTGCGCTCGGCCGGCTCGCAGCTTAGCTCGCCGGGCTGCAGCCGACTCAATTGCCTCCTTTATGTCCTTCTCACTTTCATCTAGACACAGCCCGCCTCCCCCCTTCTTCTCCTTTTTTTTCCCTCCCTTGCCTGAGGCTCACATTAGTGAAATTTCTGCAACCTCCCCCCCCTTTTTTTTTCTTATTTTAAAGAAAGCCCTTAACACAAAAGCGGTGACTAATCAATAGAAACGGGTCCTTCATCTCCTCCTCCTCCTTCTCCTCCTCCTCCTCCAGCAGGGTGACGCTTTTCCCGTTTGTGAGTTTTGGGAAACATTTTTGCTTTGTGCTGTAATGGAATTAGAGGACAGATGAGGACTGTATAGTGGACACGCGACTCAAGACTCGCGCTTAAATATTTAGATGCAACCTTACAATTACTGACTTGTTGTCCCGGCTTTGAAGTGGCAGCTCGGGAGGGCAGGGGGAGAGAGGCCAGATTGCCAAACTGATGTTTTGATTGGAACTGGAGATACACTCTCATAGACTTTCCCCCCTTTTTAAATCACAAGTGAGAGTGGGAGGTTTGCCACAATTTCAAAGATTGAGCTGAGAGACCCCAAGCATTGGTCGAGTGAGGGATTGTATTGCTTTCATATCTTCTCCTTTCCTACTTGAACGTTTCTGAAAAAACGGCTACTTTTTCATTTGACAAAGTAAAAGTGACCCAAGTTTTGCTCAGTCCTGATTTGTTTGTAAACTTGTGGGCTTTTGTGACTTCCGCTTTTCATAGGATATAGCAGTTAAAAACGCAGAAAAGTCGTAAAGGTCCTTGCAGTATTTCATTTCCAGTGGAATCATGAAAAACAGTACTTTATTATTAATGGAAGTGCTACTGAACTTGAAGGCAATGGAAGGCCAACCTCCCCTGCCCCACCACCAGGGGAAGAGGGAAGGACATTTTTTTGGGCGGGGGTCGGGGGTGGGGGAGGGAGGCGGGTGAGGGATAAACTTTCCCACAGACTGAAACCAGGGAGCATCTGATCTTAGGTTTACAGCATCAGAACCTTTATAAAAGCGGACAGTCCATTCTCCACGTCCGTCTGTCAGAACTGTGGTTTTGGCCCCAATGTTGTCTCTTGCCTTTAGAGTAGATTTTTTATTTTCTAAAGTCCTAACAACTCTCAACAAGGACATGTCACCCATTTACAGATACATGAGACATCTCAGGATTTGAATAAAACGAGAACACCGCGCTGTGTTCTTCTTGTTAAGAATTGAGCTTGTAACTGGCTTCTTGCTGGAACGATGGCAAAGGAACGGCCAGCAGTGGGATCGTAGCCTTTTCTTTTTGCCTTGTTTGTTTGGTTTCACTGCCTGTTGTATTATGCTTTCTTTCTAGCCTTATTGCAAATGTGTAGATTTTTCTAATTAATGCTTGAAATCATATGTTTATTTTGGGGTTTGATTTGACTGTTGATAGCACGCCGTTGGGGATGTGTTTCAAGTGCGTAATAATTACCGAGGGGTGATTTAAGAGCCCCCAGGGCTGAGCCATAAAACCCATCGGGCAGTGAGGCAGAACCAGCAAGTGCGCTTGAAGAAATCAAACACGTGAATAGGAGCGTTGCCACTAAACCCGCTTTTAACATCCATGAATACATATATTTTGAAGGAAAAAAAAAATCCCTCCTAAACGAGGTTAAGCGTTCAAGTTGTATAGAGGTGAATAGCCAGCAAAATTAAGCAACTGTACTGGCAACAACAAGCAAGCAAACAAAGGGTGAGAGATGAGAATTTGGCCAGGGCTGGGGCTGAGAAGGTTCAGTTTATCGGGGTCTATGACAGGTAACTTATTTATGTGGGTAAATAACGATTAAGGAACCATTAAGGATGTACATATATAACTAACAACACACTCAAAGGCAATTAAGCAGTCAGTTTAATGTCTTATCTCACT